TTCTTCTGAGCCAGGACATAAGCTTGTTCCTCGGAGAGGATCTTGGTCATGATTTCTTCCGAGGGAGTTTCTTTGTAGAGTGCCAGGCGCCAGGCCACTTCTTTGTGAAGGGCATCCATATTACCCTCTGGTTGTGTCACAGCTGCCTCACTGCTTAGCTAATCGTCCTCCATGAGGGCAGCAATCAGATCTGCCTTGGTATGACTGAAGGCCAATTGCCCTCTGGCCTCCAGCAACTCTTGTAGTGTTTGCCTCTTTAGAGTCGTGTAGTCCATAGGTCTGTTCAGCTCACGAACGTTGGTCCCCTTTGGCTGGGAAGTGCTATCCAGCCGCTTGCCACCAGTTGTAGCGGACCACGGGTAACCCAACATGTTACCTCTGCTAGTCTCTTCCTTCAGCCAGTCAGGAATCAGTTAAAGTACAAAGAGACTCATTCTCCCCCCCCAGTAACTGGACGACACACAGTCCTGGAGGTACAACACAATTTTATTGGCCATACAAGGCTTTTATGCATAACCCCGTGCAAGGTGTTTACCACACAAACGTACAAGAACACCTCCCCCTCCCTGGGGTCCTAGCACTGGAAGGGACTTCGTACCCTTTGTCCCTAAAGCCCACCACTAAAACATTGGGTTTCTCACCCCATCCCCCTGGGCAGGGGTTCTTAACCCAGTCCTCAAGGACCCCCAAACTGTCTAGGATTTAGGGATCACCCTGCTGTGTCTAATGTGCTTTTGGGGGATGAACAAGCACTTTAGACACAACAGGGTAATCCCTAAATCCTGGACTGGTAGGGGGTCATTGAGGACAGGATTTAGAACCCTTGCCCCAGGGAGTCTTCTTCCCAGGAGCCTCTCTGCCTGGGAGACCAGGCGCAGGAAAAAGGGACAATCTCTTTGTTCCTCAGGTTTATGAGAGCCCACTAAACTCACAAGTGCCCCAAAAGGGACCCTCGCATTGGTCCCTCGATCGACTAGTCTCTGTTTGTGAGCTCCTGGTATGAAACCCAGACAAGGAAAGCGTCTCCTTTCAGGGTATGAATGCCCCCCGGCTGGCGTTTGTCTATACGAGTGGCGGCCACCAAGTGGATCACTCATTAATTACTTCCCTTGCGGTTTCACACCTATATTGCGAGTGTGAACAGTCTGATTAATTGGTGTGAACGTTCCAATGAGTCGGGAAACAATCCACGAATGCTCTCCCTGGCGGCGGCTGTTTGCAATTTTGACATTTATGTTGCGAGCTGTGAACATTCTAACCTAGCATTCTAAATGAGGTATCAGGGTGGTCTCAGTTCGGAAGGTGAATGAATACCCTTCGGGGAAGCACTCCTGAAAATACAATGAAAATACAGTGGAAAAATATGTAAAAGAGAAGGGAGATTCACGAACAGAAAAAGCCAATTTAAATAAAAATCACTAGATATCAGAAACAATCCTTTTAATGCGTAGCTCAGAGTAGAAAATGTAAATAAAAAGTTACACTCAGCTGAACATATTTGCCATGTCCCTTTATTATTATTATTTTGAACTGAGATTTAAAAACAAACAAAACAGGAATGAGGTTCCCAGGGCTCCCCTTGTAACAGCAGAAGACGTAAACCTACAAACTGAACAAGCAAGGTCCCCAGGACTCTGATTAACCAAACATGCTCAGTTTCCCTTCTTCCACCACCTGTATGTGTGCATGATGCCTAATTAAAGGAATACTTTGGGCACCATAACAATTTTAGAATGAAGTTGTTATAGTGCACAGTGTTTTTCTAACTTCTAACCTATCTACCGCCATCTTATGTGTTGTGGGATAGACACTAATTTCTATGTGCTGTGCACATGTTCCCCATCAACCTGACACACTACAGGTTCCACAGCCACCTGACACCTATGGTACAGCCAGCTGACACCATGGGTTCCCCAGCCACCTGACACCCTACCTGTTCTCCATTCACCTGACACCCCATCTGTTCCCCAGCTACCCCACAGATTCCCCACCCACCTGACACCTCAGGTACCCCAGCAACCTTAACACCCTAAGCAAGAAATAGGATATTCTCTTTAGTGGAACATAAAAATGTAAATACAATAAATCGTATCTTCATTCCCTTCTAATTGTTAACATGAAAGGCTATCACCCCCATAACCAATAATAATAACAACAACATTGCAGTAGTGGAGGTAATAGTTGAAGTATGTAGCGGGCCCTGGGTAACCCGGTTAGCTACCCCCACTGTTAATGAAGGAAGAGACCCATTTTCCCCAGTAACTGGATGACACACAGTTCCAGGGGTTCAACAACATCTTTATAGGCCACATGCGGCTTTATACTTTTCCCCATGCAAAGGGTGGAGAACAAATGAAGACAATGTCCCCTCCCTGGGTCCTGGCTTGCCCGGGGGTCGTATAACGGAACCAGAACCCCAGTCCCTTTGCCACCTGTTCCCACCACTCATCCTGAGGGTTTCCCACCTCCGTTGACGAGGGGATCTTTATCCCATGAGCCTCTGCTCCTGGGAGTCCCAGCGAGGGAAAATTTCCTGCCTTTGTGACTCCCAGCCACAGAAAGCCTACCAAACCGCCATTGTCCCCAAAGAGTGTCCCCACCAGTCTCAGGGATCCCCAGAACGGCAACCATCATGAACTGATAAGTGATAAAACACACAAGTAATGTTATGGCGCTGAATTTAAGCTATAATATATACTAATAAGCAGCACTATATATTGTGAAAAAGCTCAATCACCTATATTAGAACAACGTAAGAATAAAGTGCGCTGTGCCTTTAAGACTCAAAATATTTATAAACCGTGAAAATTTGTGCAATATTGTGCAAATAAAGTGATCAAGTGCATCAATGTGCAACTCACTTCAACATATATATATGCAAATTGAGCAAACAAAATATTTCTTTGTGCAACCAATTATGTGCAAAATGACAATACTTAGCTTTCCCAATTATGGAATGTGCTTTAGGACTTCTGTCAGCAATCCAATATATGTCTCAAAAAGAGAAAGGAAATATTCAATCATAGGGTAATATGTACATACACAATAATAAAGAAGAAAATGTAAACTGAAACACTCACAAGGGTAGAGCAATAAAGTCTGCTCTAAACTTTGTAGGCTTCTATTGCAATAATGTAGGCTGGAAACTGTGGTGAAGTTAAATCCTTTATTGCTTCTTTAAAAATATCGCTGCATTAAGCTGGTAAGTCCCACTTATCTGGTCACCTCTTTATGGTTAGTGCTGGTATATACAGTCTCTATATCGGCACCGGCTATACAGAGTCTCTGTGTGCCGAAATGACTTCCTGATTCCAAACACTTCCGGGAGGCGGGGCTTAGCGGCCGGTGAGCGTAATGACGTCAGAGCGTGATGACGCGTTTCGCCGAGGGGTTCGGCTCCCTCAGATCAGCTCCTTTCACACCACAGTCCCAATATATAAGTCTTAAAAAAGTCAGTGAAAAACGGCTGGTTATAAGATAGATGTCTGAATGGATTCTTTCTCAGACACTAAAAAGGGGAAGATCTACTAAACTATTAAATATAAACTACAAACATACTGTGTATACATAAATACTTAAATCTATGTATACACATGTGAACACATATAAAAAAGCACAGATAAAATTACAATAAATAGCCATATGTGTCATCAAAAAATTACAAGTAATTATAGAAATACATACCAGTGTGATAAATAAATATATATGAGAGAGATAAATCAGTGAGATAGATATTAAATAAAAACAGAATAATATTAAATATGAATATATGCTAAAATGGACCTATAAAATTATAAAATATTATAAAAAATTAAAAAGATCAAATTCTATATTTAGTCCATATGGTTCCAATGTTTTTATCCTGTGTACCAATTTCATTTCTTCTCTTCCTATTCTAGAGCTTTGGTCTCCTCCTCTAAAGGATTTATTTACTGTTTCTATACCCAAAAATATTAAGCCTCTAGGGTCCTTATTATGCTTTAACTTAAAATGTGCTGAAACACTGTGTTGTGTAACTTCTTTTAAAATATTATTAACATGCTCTCCTATTCTTTTGTGTAGTGGACGTATGGTTCTACCTGCATATTGTAATCATGGACAGACTAAAAGATAAATGACATCCCTGGTAAAACACGTGATAAAATGATTAATACTAAATTCATTACCGTTATATGTACTACTGAATTTACTTATACCTTTTCAAGTTTTATTTTTACTATATTTACACCCCGTACCGTTACCACAAGAAAAAAAAACCTTCTTCTCATTCATAAAATGTTTATATGGGTTTTCTTTAGGATGATTATAAGTTAAAATAAAATCAAGGTTCGGTGCACCCCTGTATGTAATAAAGGGTTTTTTGGGGTATAATTTTAACCAACTCTCTGTCTTCCCTCAATAAATGCCAATGTTTATTGATTATTTTTTTTAATATCCTTATGTGCAATATTAAAGTCAAATACTAATGGTATTTTGTTTAGCTCCTTCCCGTCCACATTCTCTTTAGTAGTTATTTTGTTAATAAGATCATTTTGTTCTAAAATAACCGTCTCTTCATACGCCTCTTGGACCAAATCTTGTGGATATTTCTTATCTAAAAAACGTCCTTTTAAAATTTGTGCTTGATTTTTAAAAATCTCGGTATCTGTGCAATTTCGTCTGATCCTTCTTAATTGGCCTCTGGGAATATTGTTCAACCAAGGGGTATAATGGGCACTATTATATAATACATAATTATTGGCATCTACTTTCTTAAAATAATTTTTTGTTTTAATCTCATTATCCTCAATGTAAATTTCTAAATCTAAAAATTCTATCTTAGTGGCACTATACATACTAGTGAGTTCAATGCCCCAATTATTCTGATTAAGATTTTTTAAAAATATATTGAGATCATCCACATCTCCTTTCCAAATAAACATAAGATCATCTATATATCTACGGTATAGGGCCAAGTTTGCCCCCCATCTGGTATTATTATATACAAATTCATTTGTAACCCAGCTCATTTGTATTTGAGTAATAATTTGTAACTTTTATGGAGATTGTATGCATATTTTGTGAGTTATGAATATTGTATAAAACTGTGTATTTTCCTGCCTGTGATAATTATGTTAACCCATTGTGTACAGTAATTCTATCACAAGCAGAGGGGAGTGTTTTGCTGGAATGAATGGTAGTGTTTAACTGTATTGTACATGTTTACTTGGCTGTGCCACAAAACCATGTGGGTGGTAACATTGTGTAAAAAGTTGCATATAAGTGACAATAAACCCTCAGACTGCTGAGTTCCTGATTGGGGGAAACGGCTGCATTTACACTGGGGGATTGCTATACTCTACATACTCCCCCTAGCTATAATCACTAAGCTCTTTTAAGAGCTTGTTCCAACTTTACTCTCTGCAGCAAGAGAGGTTCGGTTTACAGTGTCTGGAGAAGTACTTGGAGCCCTCGGGAAGCACTAGGAGCATCCATCAACGGAGGTACACGGTTGGAGTAAATTTTTAGAAATACCCCAAAAACATAAGAGACCCCCATAAAATACACATTTCCTGATAGCCCTGATCCGGGGGAACTACATACTCAAAAATCACCCAGATCGGTTCAGGGGTTTAAAAGTTAGTTGGAGGTCACATTTCTGCCCAGCCGCCCACGGGGCTACTGCCCAGAATAGTTCCATAGGTTCAGCTGGGTCAGCCGGTCTATTTCAGGGGTAGGGAAACACATTAAAATAAAGAAAGGACTGTTCATGTATCTGATTCTCCAGTGGCTCTTGTTCGTGTGCTTCAATGTGCCGCTGCGTTCGTATGAAAAATAAACAAATTGCTATTTCTGGAAGTCCGAGCGATGTTCGTGCGAGCAAGTGTCCGAAAACAGTTCCATGCGCTCGATGATTAAACCCTCTGCTGCCCATTCGACAGTTTAAGATGGCCGTCGCCACGTGTTCGTGCATACGAATGACGACGTCCACCCAGCCGTTCGTCGATTAAGCTGCGGTTAACCACAGCTCCTGGGAGGTTAACGAGCAGCACACTCCACTTGTGGGGTTGTCGGCCATTCGGTAATTAGTTTGGTTATTCGAACAAAATCATACTGTGCATAGGAGAAGTTAAATTCACTGAACAAATCAACGAACACATAATGAAAAATATAAAATCCAGGGACAGAGAGGTCTGTCACAATTCGGTATTCGAAGTTAACATATGCGGTGGATGTATTTCACCGAACAAACAGGCGAAGGGAACAAAGAGCTGTAAAATCCAGGGACAGGGTGGTCTGTCACATTGCTCCCTCCTTGTGGAACACTCCGGTAGACTTGGTTTGACCTTTTTCAGGTCAACTTGGGGATGTTCGAATATAACTGAGGTTGGTGAGCTCTGTTTGCTGGGACAATCCGTCAGCGCTGCCATTCTGCTTACTGGGCCGATAGTGAATTGTAAAGTTTTAGGGTTGCAGGGCCAGGCTCCACTGTAATAATCGGCCATTGTCCCCTGCGACCCAGTTAAGCCAGACAAACGGATTGTGGTCGGTGATGAGGGCGAACTCTTGTCCTTACAAATAAGGGGTCAGTTTCTTTAGCACCCACACCAGCGCCAAGCATTCCTTCTCCACTGCTGGATAGCGCACTTCTCTTGGTAACAATTTCCTGTTAAGATACTCAATAGGTTGCTCTCCTTCATCCGTTCCGACTTGGCTCAAAACTGCCCCAAGTCAAAACATAAAAAAGCGTCTGTGTGCACAATAAAACCACCCCTACATGGACCAAGTGTTCCTCTCAGGACTCACTGTACATCGCAATTTTACCAGATTAATGAGATCAGTTTGGGACTTTTGTTCTAGGAGATCGGGCAGGGGGAGGATATCTGGGTCGTCTGTAGCGGGGCACATACTGCAGCTATATCCTCCCGCCTTTCCTGATACTCTTTCAACAGACTTATTTGAAAAGACCTTTGGATTCTTTCATCGGCACAGCTGCCAACTACATTATTCATAAAATATTTTACCAGGAAAGATACAGATTTCTTTCGTTTTCAAGTATGTCCTGGGTCCACAAAACATTGCATTGATACATTATGGTATAATAAAATACAAAAACAATATTAATACACAATATATACAAAATTTAACATAGAACAGGTAGGAAATATATAATCAACCATGACATGTGCATTCTGTTTTGAGGTATGTAGAGAGGGATCTCTTAAAAGACTTTAGGCTTGGGGAAGATTTTAAAGTGTGCGGGAGGTCATTCCACAATTGTGGCACTCTGTAGGAGAATAAGTGGTGTCACAGAGTTACTCTATCACTTGGTAGGGGCCCTGCCATGCTGCCTGCAGCTTATCTTGTCTGACTGGTTATAATACCAAAACCTTTTGCCCCACCTGGAAGCACATATGGCATGATGGGGGTTCCCTCATGTTCCGTTTCCCCCTCCCAGTGTTCCCTAATGAGATCAAGGGGACATTGCAGCCTTCTCCCATATAGTAACACAAAGGGGGAAAACCCAGTGGATTCCTGTGGCACCTATCGGTATGCGAATAACAGGTGAGGCAGCAACCTCTCCCAGTATCTGCAAGCATCAGTAAAGGTTCTCAACATCTGCTTGAGAGTACCATTAAAACGCTCACAGAGACCGTTAGTCTCGGGGTGGTAGGGTGAGCTTAATATAGGCTTAACACCACAACTGCTAGGTTAGGTCAGACGTGAACATTTAAATATGTTAAATAAAAGCAGTCCCAAAGCAGAACCCTAGGGACAACCCTTACCATTTTTGTCCAGCCTGATTTACCATTAATGACAACTCGTTGTACTCTATCCTTAAGCCAATGTTCTACTCAACAACAAGAATATTCATCTAGACCAATTTCTTTTAGTTTGAAGACTAACCTATTGGGAGGAACTGTATCAAATGCCTTGGCAAAATCCAAGTAGATCACATTCACTGCAACACCCTGATCTATACTTCTACTAACTTCTTTGTAGAATGCAATAAGGTTAACATATGTGGTGGATGTATTTCACCAAACAAACAGGCAAAGGGAACAAAGAGCTGTAAAATGCAGGGACATGGAGGTCTGTCACACCTATTATCGCTCAGGTGCAGAAAATCCATACAAAATATACAGTACCCCAAAAGTGCACCCACCATACTCACGAACTCTACAAAAAGTACATCCCCGGATAGCACTGCTCTGAGAGTATAACATATTCAAATATCACTCAGATAGGTTTGGTGAAACCAGGGCCGTCTTTAATAACGAATGGACCCTGGGCAAGTGTTTGCTTGGGCCCCCTGTGCCCTGCCGCTCTCGCCCCTCACTCCCTGGTATGCAATCATGGCATCCATCCCAACGCAGTGGCGGTACTAAAGTAGAATGAATTTTATTGGGACCCCCAATTGCAAGGTTGGACTAAAGGTAGAACCCCATCTGTCGTGCAACTCCAACAATGCTTTGACAGCTGGGACTCTACCAATTTCCCATGCTTGCAGGGTTGTATTTAGCACTGAGCCATGTTAGTATGTTTGAATGTAAGCATGTGTTTGTATGGAGTATGTTTGTGTGAATGTGTTTGTATGTGGTACTGGAGTTTGAATGCAAGTGTGCATTTATGTGTAGTGTTTGTTTTTGAATGTAGGAGTGTGCTTGTATGTAGTGTTGACGTTTCAATGCAGGAGTGTGTTTTATATGTAGTGTTGAAGTTTGAATGGAGGGGTGTATTTGTATTTAAAGTTGCGGCTCAGATGCACAGGTACACACTCTGACGCACAAGCAGATACACAGATACATACACTGACTACATACAGATAAACAGGCACATACACTGACAGACACACTGACACAGGTACATATATTGACACACACACAGACACACATACACTGGTAGGACAGACATACTGACACAGGCACATATACAGACATACTGACACACAGACACATATACCGACATACTGACACACACACACAGACACATACACTGATCAACATACTGACACATACATACACTGACGACAAATACTGACACCCACATACCACACAACACCGCACACACACAGGCACATACACTGACACACACAGACTGATATACTGACACACACACACACAGACATGCTGGCACACAGACAGATATACTGACACATGCATACACATGCACTAACAGACATACTGGAGCACTGACAGACATACTGACACATACATGACACACACAGATATACACACACACATATATACTGACACACAGACAGACAGACATACTGACACACACACACAGACATACTGACACACACACAGACATGCTGACACACACACATACACTAACACACAGATACACTAACACACACACACACTAACACACATACACTAACACACACACACACATACACACACAAACACACACACTAACACACAAAAACACACACATACATACACTAACATACACATACACTAACACACACACACTAACACACACATACACTAACACACAAACACATACACTAACACACACACACTAACACACACATACATAACACACATACACAACACACAAACACACACTAACACACACATACACTACACACAAACACAACACTAACACACACATACACACAAAACACATTTTTTTTTTAGTAATCCCCCCAGCCTCCTTACCTTTTGGAGTGCTGGGGGATTCCCTGGGGTCCAGTGAAAGCTGCTGGGCTCCTGGGCGGTGGCCGGTCAGGCAGGAAGGCGGGCGCGCAGGGAGCACTCACTGCTTCCTCTTCAGCTCCTCGGCAGCGCCGCGTAGGATGCGCCGAAGATAGATGGCGTCTGCCTCCGGCTCAAGTATCGAGCTGAAGAGAAGAGGAAGAAGCAATAATCCCACCTGCTACGACACCTACCCGCCGGAGTCAGCGGGGCCCACGGGGCAGGTGCCTCGGGCCCCCCAAGAGAAACTGGGCCCGGGGCAGCTGCCCCGTTTGCCCCGCGTTAAAGACGGCCCTGGGTGAAACGGAAATGCCATCGAGATAGTGAAAGTGAGAAGTTTTGACCAGCCAGACACGAGGCACTAGCCCAAAATAGTTCCTGTAAAATAGGTGCCCCGGCTGGTCTCTGTTCATAGGGTTCCTGTGCGAATACCAAGCAAGGGAATCTCTTTATTTCACCATACGAATGCTCCCCCTGTTCAGTAGTTAATATCTCCTGAACGTCGTTCAGTGGTCGGGAAATAGAACGGGCAGC